ATATAAAGTAGTTCGAAATTTTAAAAGAGATACTTCTTTTATTAAAATATCAATAAAATTGCCTCAAAATATAGGGGAAACAAAAGAAACTTAATTAATTTATTGATAATTTGGCTTATTTATTTTATGAACTTTTGGATTTAAATGAAGGATTATCCATTTGATTATATAAAGTAGTTCGAAATTTTTAAAAGAGATACTTCTTTTATTAAAATATCAATAAAATTGCCTCAAAATATAGGGGAAACAAAAGAAACTTAATTAATTTATTGATAATTTGGCTTATTTATTTTATCACAAGGCTAACTAGACTTTGTATTCTTCTCAATTGCGTATCATTATTTTTATTTACGTTTTTTAGTTTCTTATTCATATTTTGATTAATGTATAAGAAAATTTTATATACTTCTTTGGAGTTCAATTTTATATCCAAGGCTCAAACTCAATATTTTTGTCAATATTTCTAAAATTGTATATACTTGTTTCTCAATACATTTGGCATATATACACTGCATTAGCCAAGAAAGAAAAGAATAATGACAAGGAAAATGAGTGATGGTATATTTTCAAAAGATTTAACTGAAAAAATTAAAAGGTAATTTTTATCTAGTAAATAGTGGGGAAATTTCAGAAAATGACATGGCACGTTTTATTTATGTTTTCAAAGTCTTTCTCAATGCATTAATTAGATATAATGACAAGGAAAAAACAATATAAAACGAAATTTAAAAAGATTTACTAGCAAAAGTAGAGATGCTATGGTCCCTAGCAAGCTGTGGAATGTTTTTATTCGTGAATCATTTTGCAAGTCATAGAAACAGATTTAAAAGTTAAATGCTATAATTCTAAATTTTACGATAACGAATTGAAATAATAATACATGAGTTCCAAATTTTAATTTTAACATATATATTAAATGAATTTTGAAACAAATATAAATCTTTTGATAAATCTATTGAATTTTATTTTGGATAAATAAATAAATAAAATCAGGTAAATTAATGAGACGAAACCACGTGTCCATCTGTTAGTTTTAAGGGTATACACAACTCAAAAAATTAACGATAAAAGTAAATACAAACCTTAAAGTATAATAGAGGGTTTTCACATATCATTTATGGTAGTTCGAAGATATATTTATCATTTTTCATTAAAAATATAATAAACAAAATCATTCTTATTCTTTTTACAGCACTAATAGTTCTTATTGTTTATCAAGTTGGTGCTTGAAAAAAAGAAAAACAAAAGGAGAAAAAGAAAGGGATATTTTTTTATAAAAAATAAAAACTATGGTCCCCTATAAAATGTTTCTATTCATTAGTCATTTTATGAGTATATAGACCATACAAAAATGTGGTTTATAATTATAGGTATTTGATATTGATATATTATTTTTAATTATTATTATACCTTTCAACCATGCACGCATTTATACGTACTCTTTATGTTTTCAATTCACTCATCGATATTCAATTGTACTATTTTCTTTGCTCCAAAATAAGTGTTATTTAAGTAAAAATCATGTTTATTAAATAATTAATAAATATAATGTATAGTTTATTACTTCCTCTAGCTTTTTTTTAAAAAAAATAAAATCAAAAAGCATTATATAATGCAATTCTTATATCAATATGATAAATGAATATTTTTTAAAATGTAAGTTAAAGTTCGCATAATTTGAATCTCAAATAGCAAAATATCACTTGAGATGGGGTGTGTATTTGATACCAAAAAGTAAAATTGCTATGGTCCCCTAATGACATGTTCTTATTTATGAGTTGTTCTGTCAGTATATAAAACACATAAGAAAAAAGGTGTTTTAATTGTTAGTATTTTTTTTTATATTAATGTATTGCTCTTAATTATTCTGCCTTTCAATATATTAAGTTGCGTGTGAATCCAATATACCATGCATTTATTCTTTAGATATCTCTGGTATTTTATTATGTAATTGACAAAAATGTTTCTTCTTTTGTATTTTTATAAGAAATTAATAAGAGGAATTTTTTATTTAAAAAAAAAAGAAAGAAGAATAAGAGGAATTTGGGTAAAAAAAATAATATGTTTATGTATACACAGACTAGAATAGAGCAACCCTCAAAATTTAAGATCGCCATTTGACTGAAAAAACTTTTAGTATTCAGATTTTATGAATTATATTCGAGATTTTTTGGTATCGATTGAAAGCGTATCTTTGTAACCTTTGTAAGGAAATGACAAGAGGATCAAATATATCTCCATTTTATATTGAGTAATTTTATCTTTCATTTGAAAAGTTTTCGACTCATAACACTATTGTTAGTCAAATGGTTCAAATATGCAATTATTAGCTAAAAACCCCAATTTCCTTTTGGAGATCTTATTCTCCTTTTTTGAAAAACACACAGACAAATCAACCAGTTCCTCTATTTATTTTTATTTGTTCATCCATATTCATTGATACATTGGAATAATTTTTGAATGATAAATACATCAATGACATTGATTTTCTCAATATTGTATTCATTGATACATGTTTGACAATTTGTAGGTAAGGGACAAAATGGCCTTGTCCTTTAAACCAACTAATTAGGACAATTTTTTTTTAAAATTTACACACAGGATGTGAAGGAGGACAGTGAAAATTGAATTCAAACGTAATATGCGGAGAACATCCACTGATACTATTATTTTGTAAATTATGAATTTGACAAGAATGAAATGAGAGATCTGATTTTATAATCGTTTACAAATATTTTCTAATTATATGATTTTTTTTTAATGGGAGACTACTAAAAAATAACATAGAAGATCTTGATTATGCTTAGTGAAAAAAATATCTTTCATTACCAAAGAAAGGCTTAGGAAATCATTTTCCTCCTTAGAAATTGGAAATATAAAGGTTGGGACTTGGGAGCATCATGCTGAGCTTTAATTATTATTTTAAAAATGGGGGATAATTTTGTTTAAATAAACTTTTGGATTTATTTAAATGAAGTAAAATCTATTTAAACTAGTTTGAAATTCTAAAAGAGAAACTTCTTTATTTATTTTTTAAAAAAATCAACAAGATTTCGTGTTCTTCTCAATTGCGTATAATTATTTTTGTTTATTATTTTTTTTAGTTTTCTATTCAGTATTTGATATTCGCTTTAGAATTTAATTAATAAAAATTTATACTGAGAAGTTTCTTTTATATATCCAATGCTCAAATTCAAAACTTCTAATTAGAGATGAATACATATTGATCCCTCAACCTTCTTAATTTATTCCAAAGAAAGTCTAACATATTGTCACATTTTATTTTAATTTTTGGGGTGTGGTGGGGAGGGAGTGGGGGTTGGGGGACTAGTTTGACAATTACAATTCAAATCCTAACTACCACACATTAATTAAATATATGGTCCCAAAGATGTTAGATGTTGAAGTCTTAAAGAGAGATAGATAGCGATTGATTTTTGAAATGACAAGAACCCAATATTTTAGGGATAAATCTTATCTGAAAATATATACAATTTATCAACACGAAAACACAAATACAAACTGACAAAATAACAAGAAGAAAAAATAGTGAAGGAGTAACGCCTAACAAATACTCTTAATTGGAAAATTATAGTTTATATACGATAAAATATTTATTGATCAATAATCAACTTTGAATATCTTTGAAGAAAGACTCTCATGAGATTTAGCTGTTTGGTCATGAGATTATTCAATTAAGACAAACAACTAACATATTATTGATTCAGGATCACAAGATTTAAAAATCTTTTTAACTTTCTTGATTTATGTGTCAAGTCAAAATCAGACAAACAAATTAAAACAGAAGAAGTAATACACAATATGTAAAAAGGAATTAATTAATGAGAGTACATTTAATTAAGCCACACTTATTTATTCCATTATATAGAGTAGGCCTAACCCATCGGTGGCCCCTTAAAGTTGGTATGATATTTCACTTAGACACCTTAACTAAATAATGTTCATTTTAGACACCTGATGTAGAGTCTCGTTATGTCTTTTTGACACTTTTGTTAATATCACCAAAAATATATAAAGTGTGTGTGTTACACTCGCGAATGACGTGTAAAGGGACGAATTAAATGATGACATTTGTCATTTGTATCAAAAGTAATTATTAAATAATTATTTTTGAATAAAAATAAAAATTGACCAATGAATTAATGACACATAATATTTTTATCCAACTAATTAAAAAATAATTTGAAAAAAACAAATAAAAGAACCCACCCCAGTCGACTATGCGCACCATTTGAAAATTTTATTTTCAAAAATAAAAACCTCCCCAATCCTTTTGCAGAAACTACCCCACCCCACATCTGCACGCCATTACTAGCTCAAACAAATTTTTAGCTTAGTTTAAAGAAATTAATATTAAATTCTTCCAAGAAAAATTTCGTAAATGGATTTATTTTTAGATTTTAAAAACATTTTTCGTCATTTTGTTGAAACCTTCATCTATAATGGATGAAATTTAATTTGGGTAAAATGATGGCTAAAAATGGAAGAAGAAGAAGAAATAATTAAAAATTAACTAAAAAGCTATTTCACGCGCTGGTCAATGAGTGTATCACACTCATTATGCCATGTAAGCAAAAAGTGTCAGAATGACATAGCGGGACTCTACATCAAATGTCTAAAATGAACATTATCTAGTTAAAGTGTCTAAGTGAAACATCATGCCAATTTTAGGGGGTCACTGACAGTGGCGTAGCCACATGGTGGTTAGGGTGTCCAACTGGACACCCTTCGTCGGAAAAATATATTGTATATACAAGTAAAATGATATACTAAATGATTAAATAACATATTTTGGACACCCTTAACATAACAAGTTATTATAGTCCAGTGGTTTCACCTCCTTGGAATGAGGAAGTGTTTGTGTGTTCGAATTTATTGTGCTATTACTGGACACCCTTTATGAAATTCCTAGCTCCGCCACTGGTCACTGATGGATTAGGCTTATATAGTAAGAGTACATGGAGACATTATAATCAACATACATGAACCCTAGTTATTTTTGACATGTGGCTGCTTAATTACTTCAATAATAATCCATTAATTAAGCCACCCTAGGAATTTGTACAACATCACCCAAAATGTTATCAATAAGACGAACTCGATTACAACGATAATCCAATGGGACTGGAGAGCCATTCAATATTATTGGAACATCATTCATGGATGGATTTTCCTTCTCAATTATTCCCTTAGCAAGCTTTGTTGGTACACCAATAAGTTCTGGCCATAATTGTTTTCCTACAAATATATACGCATAATTAATTATAATGAGAGAAAGAAAGAACAAGGACGTAGTTTGCTCTGATATCATATTGAAGTATATAAACATTTTATCTAAAAGCATAAGTTGTTAAAGAGAATAAATTTTTTATTATTTAATTATATTATATTCTCAACAGTTAAAACATGATATTTACTTTTTTTAAAAGTAGGGAGTAGGGAAAGGAAAAAAATGGGGAAAGAGATTTCAATGTGGAGAATCGAATCCTTATTACCAATAATGTAAAAGTTTAGATAATCAACCAACTGAACTGCTAAAACTTTTCAAGAATCGAATGATCTAATCTTGTTTGGCCATGTTTTAGAAAAGTCAACAATGACTTTTTTTTTTAAAAAAAAAACATTTTAAAACATTGAATTATTTGGCCAAGCGTTTAAGAAAAAAAAACAAGCATTATTAGTAGTAGCAAAAACTGTATTTTGAGAAGCTAAAAAAAAAGTAATCCTTTAAAGGAATTTTACCTTTGCACCAAGACTCAGATTTCACTTCCTTTAGAAGTTTTATGACTTCTGGCCTATCACTTTCTTTTCGTGCCATGAGAGTTTTAAAAGCTGTCAAATAAAAGAAAAAACATTTCAATAGCAATTAATGAGAATATTATCTTTATACATTCAACCAAATATTATTCTTTATAATTTAACATGTTATAACTATAGTGAACCCCTTAATAATATTTTAGCTTCTTTATCTATTATTTTTTTTATGAATGATTGTTTATAGTTGTATTTTAAGTATCATGCTAATAATGTAACAATTCTTCTACATTATTATTTATAGTGTATTTCTCATTTCAGGTTAAATCGTCAAAAAATAATAATATGCCTAAAAGTCTCTGGCACAAGCAAGAGTAGGAGGAGATTCACCTTATATATATATGATGATAAACTCTTTGTTAAAGTTCTTCTCCCCCTCACACCCATTCATACCGAAAAAATATATAAATCATTTACAACTCTAATAATATTCTTGCATGTAGAGAAAGGGAGGTACTAACAAGTTGCAATTCATAATATACCGATTAGTGGTATCAGTGTGTGTGATGTGTTCCCCACAAACTATACGTGAATTCAATATTCACTTTCCCTCCGTATTTCTCGTATGTAATTAAAAATATATCAAAACATAATATTTTTTTCCTTTATCTTCAAACTGTTCAACACGTGGTTGTTACACCACTAGTATGCCTATAAATTTATGTGATGCACTCATACAAATTCACTCAATTCCTTCTACTCTTTACAACTAAAAGAAACTGGAGTCAAAGTTTGCTCACATCATTGTGTTCTTTCTTCTGAAAAAATATTCTTTTAAAATGTAAGTTAAAGTTTTCATAATTTGACTCTCGAATAGCTAAATTTCACTTGAGACGGAGAGCGTATTTAATATCTTATAACAATTATTTTATCTAATGACAAATTATCATAAGAAATATTTATTATGAGCTATTTAATGACAAATTAATAATAATTTCATAGCTAAATTTTTAAATTTTTATTGTGATGGAATTGATGGAAGGAAACATAAAGAAAAAACTAAAAAAGAGATGATACCAAAAGTAAAATTGTTATGGTCCCCTAATGACATGTTCTTATTCATGAGTAATTTTGTCAGTATATAAAACACATAATAAATGTGTTATAATTGTAAGTATTTTTTATTTGCTCCTAATTATTCTGCCTTTCAATTTATTTAGTTGCGTGTGAATCCAATATACCATGCATTAACTCTTTAGACATTTCCCATATTTTATTATGTAATTGATAAAATTGTTTCTTCTTTTGTATTTTTATAATAAATTAATAAGAGGAATTTCTTTTAAACCAAAAAAAGAAGAAGAATTTGGGTAAAAAAAAGGTATATTTTTAATATACAAGGACTAGAATAGAGCAACCCTCAAACTTAATGATCACCATTTGAGTGAAAAATATTTAAATTTTATGATTATATTCGAGATTTTTTTTATATCGATAGAAAGTGAACCTATTTTGTGAACTTTTTAAGGAAATGGAAAAAGGATTAAATATATCTTTATTTTATATGGAGTAATTTTATCTATCATGTAAAAAGTTTGACTCATAACTCTATTGTTAGTCAAATGGTTCAAATATGCAATTATTGGTTAACGACCCCAATTCCCTTTTGGGGATTTTATTCTCCTTTTTGAAAAAACACAGCCAAATCAACTAGTATTATTTAATTTCTCAATTTATGTCACGACCCAGATCGTCGTGATTGCCACCCACACTAACCCTTCGGTGGGAGAATCACTACTATAACTCAAACCAAGCAATTAAACCAAAACTAAGGAATTTAAGTACACAAAAGCAAGAAAAATACTAAGGAAAGAAATAGAGTTCCCATAAACTCTAACAAAAGTCTAACATTAATAAACTAACAATGCGGAAATTCAACCCATAGAACCTAAAAGTCATTGTACCAAAACTCTACTAACGACCAGTCTAAGAACAAGGGGTACAACCCCGAAACTAAACAAACACCTTAAACAAATAGTTTGAGTCCGAAAAGAGTGCACTTAAACAAGAAAGATCCATAGCAGCCTAAAAGAACTGGATCACCCTTGAATCCGATCACGCTCAACAGTCACCTAGCTGAGGTCTATCAATAGCCGCCTGAAGATGCCCTGTACTCAACAAAGAACAAGCCACTGCAGTATTAGTACACAACCACAGTGTACTGGTAGGATCACGCGGCTATCCCAATAGGTGAAACGCATGCAAGTAACCACAATCATTATAAAATAGGCATATACCGAACATATACAATATAAGTCAACTATTATGAACAACGAACAGTTTCACGATTCTCACATATCACGGTTATATCAATTTAGAGCAACATACATTCTTTCAGTATCAATCATCATTAGATATGAATGTAATTATCACAAGTAGATACACAACACAATTCAATGGTCCTTTCACGGAACCCAATTCAATGGTCCTCTCATGGAACCCAAACCCAAACTGTTAGCATACCGGTTCGTGGTACCCGTACCAAATTAGTGTGCCAGAATGTGGCAGCCAATCCCATGTTTATGCCGGAATGTGGCAACCGATCCCATATTTATGCCGAAATGTGGCAATCAATCCCATATTTATGTCGGAACGTGGCAACCGATCCAGTTAGTGTGTCGGATCGTGACACCCGCCCATTCAACAAACCACAATCACAATCACAATGTATATTCTCACAATTATACAACAAGAGGTGATTCATGTCATACAATTATTCAATTATCCTTATTCACGATTAGGGTGATCAATAATGCAACATTCGCATACATACATGCATTATAATGAAGCAATTACAAATTAACATATATCACACCAACATGAAATCACAACCATCACCTACTTCGAATCCAAGCTTGAATCCCCTAAGGCACTTGAATCTTCCCTTTTCGGATACTTCCCGCTTGTTCGTGGTCTAAAACCAATAATTTATACGCAATTATCAACAATCAAAGGTCTAATTATCCGGATTATAACAAACTCAATAACCCTAGACCTAACCCTAGACCAAACCCTGAATCCCCATACCCAAATTAGGGTTTCTTCCACCATAAATCACAAAACAAAACCCTCCCCCATCAATATTCACCTATTATATTACGTTCTACGGATCAAAAAATGGATTCGGGGAGTGAAAAGCTTACCTTTAGCCTCAAGAATGGTGAAAAACGTGTAGGAGTCGCCCGGGGTTCGTTCCTTAGCTCTAAAAATCAAAAAGTGCATAATAAGGTCGTTTAGGGGTTTATTAACGACCTTAAGTCTCGTCGAGCCCGCCACAGCGACCCTCATCCCGCTGCAGCGGCCCCGCCAGAGCGGCGAATTCCAGCGCCAAAGCAGCATTCTCGAGACAGAGAGTTGATTCAAGAATTCCAAAATTCTCATTTCACAACACACCTCTAACTAACGACGCTCAGAAAATACCCATTACGCTAAGATCGATTCCGAGGGTTCTACTCGCCTGTATTCAATTCCGTAAAGTCGTACGGGATCCTTAACGTCTTAACTATTCACTCATGTAATCATATTCATTAATAGATCTCTCATTTGTTATCATATTTCCCTACACCTTGATGACTCCGATTTTGTCCAAATCTGAACTAGGTTGAGAAATTCCAAGTTACTATGAAAAAGTTTTTCTGGCCTCAATTCTTTCCCCATTGGCTTTTCCATAACGACGGAAATTAGATCGTTACATTTTATTTTTACTTGTTCATCCATATTTGTTGATATATTGGAATAATTTTTGAATGATAAATACATCGATGACATTGATTTTCTCAATATTGTATTCATAGATACATATTTGGCAATTTGTAGATAAGGGACAAAATGGTCTTTTCCTTTAAAGCCACTAATTAGGACATAACTATTTTTTTAAAAAAAAAATTACACACAGAATGTGAAGGAGGACAGGAAAAATTGAATTCAAACGTAATATGTGGGGGACATCCACTGTCCATTGATTCTACTATTTTGTAAATTATGAATTCGACAAGAATGAAATGGGAGATTTAGTTTTATAGTCGTTATAAATATTTTCTAGTTTAATTTTATGGTTTTTGTAATGGGAGATTACTAAAAAATAACATAGAAGATCTTGATTATGCTTAATGAAAAAATTTCTCCTTTACCAAAAAAAAAAGGCTTAGGAAATCGTTTTCCTCCTTAGAAATTGGAAATATAAAGGTTGGAGCATTATGCTGAGTTTTTATTATTGTCTTTTAAATGGGGAATACTCTTGTTTAAATAAACTTTTGGATCTAAATGAAATAAAATTCTTTTAAAGTACTCCCTTTGTTCACTTTTACTTTTCACACTTTGATTTGTCATATTCATTAATAAAATAATTATTGATATAGGTATTTTACCAAACTAACCCAATTAAATGATGTCTTGAAAAATAAGTATTTAATGTTGAAGGTAAAATATGGAAAAAAATTTATTGTCTTTTCTTGATATGTCAAAAGTGATAAGTAAAAGTGAATGGAGGGAGTAGTTCAAAATTCTAAAAGAGAAACTTCTTTCATTTAAAAAAAAAAACTCAATAAAATTGCCTCAAAATAGGGGGAACCAAAAAAACCTTAATTAATTTATTGGCAATTTGACTTCTTTATTTTATAACAAGGCTAGCTAGATTTTGTATTCTTCTCAATTGTGTATCATTATTTTTGTTTACTTTTTTAAAAAAAAATTATTCGATATTTGATATTCACTTTGAAGTTCAATTAATAGAAATTTATACTGCGGAGTTTTCTTATATATGCAATGCATAAATTAAAAACTTTTCATTAAAGGTGAATACATATTTATCTTTCCACACCTATAATGATATTTTTGTTTACTATTGGTCCCTCAACCTTCTTAATTTGTTGCAAAGAAAGTATAACATATTGTCACCTTTTATTTTTAATTTTTGGGGTGTGGTGGGGAGGGAGTGGGGGACTAGTTTGACAATTACAATTCAAATCCTATACCACACATTAATTAAATATATGGTCTCAAAGATGTTAAAATCTTAAATAGAGATACAGAGCAATTGATTTTTGGAATTATGAGAACCCAATATTTTAAGGATAAATCTTACTTGAAAATATATACACTTTACAAACAAGAAAACACAAATACAAAATGACAAAATAACAAGAAAAAAAAAAAGAAATAGTGAAGGAATAACGCCTAACAAATACTCTTAATTGGAAAATTATAGTTTATATACGATAAAATTTTAGTTTTTATTGATAAATAATAAACTTTGAATATCTTCGAAGAAAGACTCCCATGAGATTTAGCCGTTTGGTCATGAGATTATACAATTAAGTCAAATACTCTCTCCGTTTTAATTTGTTTGTTTACTTTATTTCTTACTTTGTTTAGAAAAATATTTTTTTTCTTTTATGATAACTCTTTTAATTTTAATTTACTACCTGACATGTTTAAAATTACAAGATTAAATATCATTTTTGATACATTCCACATATTTTCTATTCAACCACAAGAATTAAAACCCTAGTTTACTTTTTGGAATTATGTGTCGAATTAAAATCATACAAACAAATTGAAACAACCAAAGTAATGCACAATATGTAAAAGGATTTAATTAAGCCACACTTATTTATTTCATTATATATAGTAAGAGTACATGGAGACATTATAATGAACATACATGAACCCTAATTATTTTTGACATGTGGCATCTTACTTCAATAATCCATTAATTAACCAACCACAGGAAGTTGTACAACATCACCCAAGATGTTATCAAAAAGACGAACTCGATCACAACGAAAATCCAATGTGACTGGAGAACCATTCAGTAATATATGAACATTACTTATGAGTGAATTCTCCTTCTCAATTATCTCCTTAGCAAGCTTTGTTGGTACACCAATAAGTTCTGGCCAGCTTAGTTTTCCTACATATACACATAATAATTAATTATAATGAGAGAAAGAAATTAAGAACAAGAATAATATACTCTATATGTGTTATTATAATAGCAGACATCAAGTTGATTCATGATATATACTCTTTTTTTAAAATGGCAGTAGCGGAAGAGATTTTAAGGTGGAGAATTAAATCGTTATTAATAATGTAAAATTTTAGGTAATTAACCAACTGAACTAATAAAATTTTCTAGAGTTGAATAATCTACATCTTGTTTGGCCAAATCTCAGAAAAGTCAACAATGACTTCTTATTTAAAAAAGTATTTCAGAGAATTGAAGTGTTTGGTCAAGGATTTAAGAAAAAAACAAGTGTTTTTAATAGTAGAAAAAACTCTTTTTTGAGAAGCTAAAAAAGCAAATTCCTTTAAAAGAACTTTACCATTGCATTGAAATTCCTTTAGAAGTTCTATGGCTTCTAGTCCATCACTTTCTTTTCGTGCCATGAGAGTTTCAAAGGCTGCCAAAAAAACAAAACATTTCAATAGCAATTAGTGTATTTCTCATTTCAAGTTAGATTATCAGAAAATTATGACGCCTAAAATTTTTTGGCACAAGCAAGGGTAGAAGGAGATTCATCCGAACTCTGGCAGAGCCAACATTATCACTAAGAGAGTCAATATATACATTTTCACTAAGAGAGTCAACATTTTCACTAAATAATGTAATTTTTCAGCAAAAGGATGTCAATTGACAAAGTCATTGAACAAGTCTCCCTTTCAAACCTGCTTTGCTGGTTAGTCACATTATATTTACAAGATCAAACTATTTTTTTTATGTATATATAGTATAAGGTAATCCTTTGTGACCCCCCCCCCCCACACACACACACACCCTCAACCCCATATCGCAAAAGAAATATAAATCATTTACAACTCTAATAATATTCTTAGAGAGAGAGAGAGAGAGGGGGGAGGGGGGGGGGAGGGTACTAACAAGTTGCAAGAAGAAAGAAAACAATGATGTGAGCAAACTTTAACTCCATTTTCTTTTAGTTGTAAAGAGTATAAGGAATTGAGTGAATTTGTATGAGTGCATCACATAAATTTATAGGCAGAGGTTGCCTTCATTGTAGTGACTAGTGAGGTACTATATACTAGTGGTGTCTAACAACCACGCGTTGAACAATTTGAAGATAAAGGAAAAAATTATTAAGTTTTGATATATTTTTAATTACATACGAGAAGTGAGGAGGGACAGTGAAAATTTAATTCACGTATTGTGTGTGGGGGACACATCATATACACTAATACCACTAATCGGTATATTATAAATTGGATAAGGGTAAAGCGGGAGATTTAATTTTATAGTCGTTTATAAATTTTGTAGTTGTATATAGGTTTTTTTAATTTTATTTTAAAGAAGATTGTTACAAAATAACATAGAAGATCTATAAATATATAAAATACATGTTGGATTTGTAAGCTCATTTTTTAAAGAAAATTAAAATTGTAAGTGGATTTTTTAAAAGCCCTAAGACCCTTCTCGACCCTTCTTGCCTTTGGAAATTCGCTTGTTCTTACCGACCGCCATGGTCGAGCTTTAGTGGTTGACAATGTACCAAAATAAAAAAAAAA